CTTTCCAGTACAGATGTCCAGGCTGCCAAGTAAGTTTCAGAACTAGCGGTATGTTTTGTGTTCCAATTATTTGAAAATTATATTTTTATAGGTGTAACAATATTATAATATTTGCACAAAAGGATTGAAAGATATAGAAGAGTATTTAAAAGGAAAGGAAAATGTACCCATATCCTACTACGTAGAGATGTAATTAGTTTCTTGACCTATTTTATGCATTTTTAAACATAATTGCTAATATTGTATATATACTTAGATCCTACTTAACAGCGTGTTTATTGTAGAAATTTAAAAATTACAAACAAAAAAATCTTTCATTCCCAGTGATTTCTCTATTTATAACATGTTTCTATTCAGAGCTAAAAATTTGTCATAAACAACGTTAATTGGTGTATCAAAATATACTTAATGGACACTTTCTGCAGTTGGAAATTATAAACTATAAAAGATATTTGGGCCCAGTGTTGCCCAGTGGTTAGTCAGCCCACACACTGAAGGGTCAAGTGTTTGATTCCTGGTCAAGGATGTGTACTTGGGTTGCAGGTTTGATCCCCACATGCTGGTAGCAACCAATCAATATTTCTCTCTCTCTCTCTCTCTCTCTCTCTCTCTCGCTCTCGCTCTCGCCTTCCTCCCTCCTTCCCCCCCCTTTTCCTTTCGACCCGCCCTCCCTTCTACTCACTCTAAAAAATCAGTGGAAAAAATATCTTTGAGTGAACCCTGGCTGGTTTGGTTCAGGGGTTAGAGTGGACCGAAGGGTCACGGGTATGATTTCTGGTCAAGAGAATGTACCTAGGTTGCAGGTTCGATCCCCAACCCTGATCAGGGTTGTGTAGGAGGTAACCAATCAAAGTTTCTGTCTCATAAACCTACCTCTCTCTCTCCTCCTCTCTCCCTCTCTTCTACTCTATCTAAAAACCAATGGAGAAAGATCCTCAGATATATATCCTTGAGTAAGGATAAACAAAAAGTAAAATAAAAGACATCTTTAGGTTTAGAACATTTGTAGTTCATATTAATTTATTGGTATAGATTCTCAACTAGGTTAAGAATTGTAAACATAATGAAAGGCTCTGCTATAAAATATGTGTTTATATAATATTTTTGTTTTTATATTCAGAATACAATGTAAAAAGGTTGTACCAGTTTATAATCACCCCACCAGTATATGAATGCCTGTTCCACCATAGCCATTGGCAGTTTCTTTCTCTTTACTGAGGCGATAGAGCAGGGAAAGATGTCTAACTAAAGGTTGAAATACTCGTCTCCTGTTTGGTGAATTTGAGTCCCCACTGACTTCACTGAAAGTGCAGACGCATCCTGACTTGGCGATTCGGGATTCCCTCTGCCCTAGACAGACTCGGGCAGAGCTGGAATCAGGTTATGCATCTTCATAGAGCAGTTTAAAACATTTGACTTCGACTCCATCCATTTAGGACAATTCAGAATGTGAATCCTAAAACTCAAACTGTCTTCATGATCATAAGTGTTGCCCACACGCAAGTATGACCATGAATTACAACCTAAAGGGAGCAACCGATTGGTCCTTTCTGTTCCCATTTGTATTACTACTTTTGTCATGCTGAACACACTCAGAAATTGCCTCTTGAATAATGACAATACAGTTTATTAAGTACTGTATCCATGGAAGCAGGGTTAATAGGGTAGCACTCTGTGTGCTTGTACCAGAAACAAAACATGGTGTGAATCGAAACACTGGATCTACTGAAGAAAAATCTGTTTCAAATCTAATTTATTTAAGAAAATGTGTTTTAATAAGTGTAGCACTGTTTTTATAAGGTATGACAACATGTAGTAAATGGAATTTCAGGTATTGATGTCAGGTGTGTTTGTTTTTGCCATCTGGATGGAGTTGATACTTTTTCCTATAGGTTTCTTAATTTTCCTGTAGTGAGAGAGAAAGTGAGGTGTCATAGCTGAAGGGACAAAGTAATAATCTCTTGGTAAAATGTATTGCAGGTACTATCTCTCTTTTAATTAAGCTGACAATTTGGTAAAATTGCATATAATTGTAATTGTTTAAATGGAAGTCTTGCTACAGCATGCCAGAGGAGATTCTGTTTGTGAGTTCAGTAACGTTGGTGCTTATTGAACAACAGTTTCTCTCTGGGAGACTTATGAATTGGATTTTGTTTTATTTCAAATTGATGCTTTTGTGCCCAGGTTTAAGCTACTGAGACTTAGAAGCCCTCTACTGTCCCTACCCACCCCCCTCTCTATCACTTCCTACCCTCAAGGAGGCAAATCCAGGCACAGGAGTGGGACGGGGTGGGGGACAGCCACAGAATTAGCACACAGCATTCTGCCTAGTGGACAGTGAGAGCCCATATAGTTATTTTTATTTAATAGAAATGCCTAAAATTATCACCAAAATAATATCAAGAGGCAAAAGTTACTTCATTAATCAGAACTTTAAAATAGTTTTAACTAGGTCTGAGTTCTAGTCCAAAATCAAAAAGTAATCTGTTGGGTTTTTAATATAATCTTGTATTGACAACTTTCTGAATAATAATGTAAATAATAAAATAGTTGGTGAGCTGAAGAAATAGAAGGGAGGCCTTTAGCACTGCTAAATTTTCAAGCTATATATTTGAGGGTTTGGGAACATATTTATAAAATTGCCTTGCTCTATAAAACTGGCTCTGTCTTTGTTATATACCTTTAATTGGGCAGGAACAAGCTGAAAGCTGGGTACCTCATGTCAGTGGAGTCTTCCGAAGGTTTCCTGGATGAAGTTGGGTCTCAGGCTCTCATCGCTGGTTCGTACATGCCACCAACCACAGTTCTTGAGCAGATTGACTCAGTAGCTGATGCTGATGTCGTAAATGTAAGAAATGAAAACTTATGATTTAACATCAAATAACTTGACCTTAATGTTAGAATTTCAGAAGGCATGCATTAGCTTCCTTGGGCTGTCTGGTGCCTCTCTATCTGGTGTGGAGAGGGGGCTCATTACTATCAGATCTGCATACAGCGTCCTTGTCCACTCAGAGTTTATGAGTTTATGGGTCTTCCTCATTCAGCTAAATCCAGTAGGTTAAACCATATTCAATACTCAGAAGCCAAGAAGAATCAAGTATCAGCAATTTTATGATTCAAATAGTTAAGTTTGGTATTTTTTCTTTTCACTCCCAAGAAATAAACTTACCATCCTTCCCAATCCAGCAGCCTAAGACATTCTCCTGCTCTTGCTGTTAGTTTGTTTTCACATATATTACTGTTTCCTACAAGATGAGTTGTTCTGAGAGCAAGGCCTATGTCTTATACCTCCTCTTTGTATTCCCTATTATGCCTAACAAGTACATGAACTATAGAATAAATCCAAAGTTAGTCGGTTTTCCAGTCCTTTCTATATTAGAAGTGTTAGCTGCCCTTCCATTGTGGAAGTCTCAGCCATCTTCTCAACAACGGGTCTACCTGGGGGGATGGTAAAAAGAGTATATTCAAGGTAGTGACCCTGACATGGTTTCACTTGGCCCCAGAGTTTATTATATACTCTTCCCAGTGTCTGTCCTCAGCTGCCGCCATCAGCTGCCGCCACCATCGTCCTTTGCAGAATGGGGGCCTGAGATAACGTGAGGCAATGCTCATGGTATCACACTTAGCCTGAACCCCCACAAACACGAAGCCATGACACACAGAATACTAAGATGTAAAATCCAACTTTTAAGTTAGCAGTCAGTGTACTTTTGTTAACTCACACTATTTGCCATTGTAATACAGAAATAGGAAGGCACAACCCTGCCGTCTTCCACAACCTCAGTGAGCTCCCCTTGTCCCCTCCTAACAGCTGCCTTCACATGGAAAGCACCACACTTGCTCAGCCACACCTGTGACAGGGCGCTCCTAGGAACCGCTGAGCTTTTCCTCACCTGCAGCTCATTTCACAAGAGACTGTTGCAGAATTGCTGACTTAGAGTGTCCTGTCCATGAACTCTCAAAATAGCAGAAGTAGTAAGTTTAAGTACTGTGCTTGATGGGACACGTTCTTGTTTCTTCTAACTTTCTGTCTTTGTTTGTGTGTTTGTCTTAAAGGCTGCAAAGAAGTTTATTTCTGGCCAGAAGTCAATGGCAGCAAGTGGAAATTTGGGGCATACCCCTTTCGTTGATGAGCTGTAAACCTAAAACACATTGCAGGGAGAGCTGGACATTTTCTCAACCAGAGCAGCAAACACACAAAAGTCACGACGCATCTATAATTTAACATTTGCCTTGGTTTTCAATGAGGCGAAACATCTAAAGAAGTATAAATGCATTGTTCTCTGCTGACCTAAAGTCAATAAAACAGTTTAAGTGTTTTCTTGCATGTTTCCTAGTCAGTTAATCAATAAGTATTTATTATCTATAAACGTCTTTGTTTGAGATGCATAATAGCATGAGAAACTATTACAATTAAGCTGAGAAGCTATCAGTAAATATTCCCAGACTATGGTTGGTGGTGGTTTTTTAAGATAAAAGTAATTAAAATCTCTTCTTTTGGGTAAGAACAATTAAATGGTCTAGGTTTTACACCCTTTTTTGCCTTTTTGCAATAATTTTTAAGATTTTTTATTTTTAATTTTTTAGAGAGAGAAACAGATGGGCTGCTTCCTGCACACCTTCTATCAGGGATCAGCCCACAGCCCAGGCATGACCAGGAATCGAACCGGTGACCTCTCAGTGCTCGGGATGGCACCCAGCCAACCTAGCCTCACTGAACAGGGCACAGTAGAGTCTTTCTGAAAAACCTGAATTCCCTGCCAGTTGTCCCCGCTGCTTCGTTCTGTAGGTCTGCCTACTCTTCACTGTGCAGAACTTGGCTCCCCTCATCTTCTTCAGCAACTAGTGACCCAACATCCACAGTACAAGTAGGCAGAAAAGGAAAAAGTTCTATGAACAACTAGCCAAAAAACATTATTTCTTTTAAGTAGGCCACTGGAAGTTCGCAAAACGAGAGAAACTAAACATCCAAGTAACAATGTGGTTCTTACCTTAAAAAGTGAACTTCTGTGCTGTGCTCACACTCTGACACTGCATGACTGCGTCTTCTGAAAGACAGGACATTCTCAGAAGGGGGTCTCGGGGCTCTGAGTGGTGCTGCTGTTTCGACAATAAAATCTGTAAGGCCTGCTGTGACACTCGGAAGTCTTGGCGTAAAGGCTTCACGGCAGCTGGAGAGAATTGGTAAGTCTGCACGTACTCCTGTACACAGAAGTACACAGACAATGGGTGTTTTCCAGAGAAATGCCCCTGTGAGCTCAGATCTGCAGACTACTAACCAGTTTTTATGCAGGTTGATCCCTGTCCTTTTCGACGTGGGCGTAGTCTTCCAGCCAGAATGCGTCGGATGCCGAGGAGGAGGTGGAGCTGTCCTTGTCTTGCTTAACCATTGTCCAGTATGGGGAGGGGGATCTCACTTCTCTCTTGTAGTCTCTGTGAATCATGACGTCACAGTTGATGTCTGTTCCTACGCTGATAGTCTGGTTCTTCTTTTCATATTTATGCCATTCTCGGGAGATTGACATGGGTCTCCTTGCGGGATGATGCCTGGTGGACCATGGGGATTTATAATATTTAAGATTTTTATCTAAAACGACATCTTCCTTGTCATCAATGTTTGTGAAAGAGTCATCTTTTGCCTGCTCAGTTTTCTTTGTTGTGCTGGAAATAAAAGAATAGTGAATGAAAAGGATTTTTTTTAAAATCCTCACCCAAGGATAGTTTTCCATTGTTTTGTTGTTTTTTTTTAAAGAGTAGAAGGGAGGGAGGGAGAGAGAAACATTGATTGGTTGCCTCCCACACGTGCCCCAACCAGGCTGGGGATTGAACCTGCAATCCAGGTATGTGCCCTTGACTGGAAAGAGAACCCAAGACCCTTCTGTGCTCAGGCCAGTGCTCTAACCACTGAGCAAACCGTCAAGGGTGAAAAGGATTCTTGATGTCTTATCACTGGCTTTGACTCAGAAGAAAGGATACAATTTACACTTTAGCACTACCTTTTTGTGTTCTTGATATTTTTCCCTTTCTAAAAGCACCTTTAAGTTTGTTTCCATTCCTAAATGTAATTATTTCACACTACTTTTAAAACCTTTGCACAGAGTTTAGCCAAGGACTGATCTGGTTGGACTATCAGCAGGACTTAAAGGGTGGGTTAGTTTCACTCTACCCAGAATGACAGGTCAACCTGGCCATCTCCACAGAACTCTGTCTGTCCTCTGGTGTCCCGTGGGGTTGGCAGTAACAGAATGTCACCAGTTTCCAGGGGAGTCAGGAAATGGTGGGCCTCAAACACCTTTACCATGCTCATAATGGGTAATTTGGAGTCTTTTCTCCTGAGCATTATTCTTTGCCGTTCTATGGATTGACAACTGTGGATTCTTAGAATACCTTTCTACCCAGGTGTGTCTCTTCATCCACTATTCCACTTCTCCGTTGCTGTCCAAATGTTTTTAAGATTTTAAAATTTCGTTCTTTATTGATTTTAGAGGAGAGAGAGAAACATCGATGAGAGAGAACATTGATTGGCCACCTCCTGCATGCCCCCCACTGGGGATCAGGCCCACAACCTGGGCACGTGCCCTGACCGGGAATCAAACTGGTGACCTCTTGGTGCATGGGTCGACGCTCAACCACTGAGCCACACCGGCCGGGCATTAATATTTTTTGTAACTTGCCTCAACTAGTGGCTTTCATGATTGTTGAAACTTGGATGGAGTTTGCCCCCTAGCAGTCACGCCTCTCGAACCTTTCAGTCCTGCTCTGCCTACGCCTGCTGCTCCTTCCTGAACAAATGCTGTGCCCACCCCCATCCTGGTGCTGTCTAGCAGATTCAAAACTAGGTCCTTGTGATTATGAACCCCTGGGATGTTCTGTCCTGCTAAAAGGAAATGGGAAATAGGTTTCTTCCCCACTCTAACCCCCACCTGTCAGACCTGCTAGTTTATCACTAATATCCTTGGAGGTCTGCCTGTTTTACTTGTTCCCAAGAATTTGAACAGCTTTACCTAGTTTCTCTTTTCTAGTGATACGCAGTTAATACCGAGTCATTTTTACTGAGAGCCGCTAGTCTCAAACTGATTATCTCTGGTCCTTGATAGAGTACAGTGCAAGGAGATCTGGAAGACCTAAAGACTGGAATAATATGCCTTCAGACACGCCCAGGGCTTCCTAACCAGCACATGAACAGGAAAAAGAAGGTAGTATTTTTTTCAGGCTGCAAAGGGTATGCCATGTAACTTAGGTAAGCATAAAGGACAGGTGGTAGGGCCAGGTGCCTATTAAACTGGCATCAGATGATAAAACCCCAAGCCCACAGAGGTCAGGGTTGGCTGGAGGCAGGAGGCCTGCCCAGAGCTGTATATGAAGCATTCTCTCCGGTGTCCACACAGTGCCATCTGCTCCTAAAGAAGGTCATACCAACTCTGAAAGAAGCTCTTCCCCTCCTGCCCCTTCCCTGCCCCCTTCACACACATCGCTAAGCCGCCTTAGATACAAGCACTGCCTAAGAAAGGGAGTCCTGACTTTGTAGGGCTTACAGCCTCATACTTAAGTTGTGCTATTCTGTGTTTATCTTGTCTTTGTTTTTGAACAGTTAATCTGACATCCTTAGATTTTATTCTGAATCTCAAACTGATTAAAATGCTTAGTTAGAACATGGCTGTTATATAAGTAAATGGTGCGAGCTCAGGCTTAAGTGACACTCCCCAGTACAAGGCCACCAGCTCTGTGTGGCTGCTGAATTTAAACTGATTGAACTGAGTAAAATTCACAACTCCTCACTTGCAAATCCTCACATTTCAAGTGTTAAATAACTGCATGTGGCCGGTGGCTACAACATGCAAGGACACAGATACGAAACACTGCCCCCCAGCAGTTCTTAGTGGGTGTGGCTGCCCTAGAGACAAGCCGGTGCCACAGAGCCCTGTGACCCTGGCAGCTCACACACACTTCTTTCTGCTTCAATGACAAAAAGAATTGGCATGAGGACTGAGTGGTATAATCTTGTAATGTAAATAGTGCCCAGCACATAGTAAGCAGTGAGTGTCATTATCATTCATGATTTTTAATCAAATAGGACTTACTTGGTTACTGGGGGAATTCTTTTCCCCATTCTGTGCCTGACTGGATGGGGACATCTGCTCCCCACCTCTAGGCCATTGTCCCAGGGCAATGCCAGCCCAGCTTCTGACTTTTAAGGAGAAACCACAGATACAGATTCTTTCCATGAAATTTAGATTTGTAAATTTGGCGACTAATTCAAATGTTTTTTACTTTTAAAATTTGAAATACACAGAAAAATGGCAAAAGACCGTTTCAGGAAAAAAATATAAAACCTGGTAGTCACCACCCAGGTCAAGAAATGGAGTCCTGCTGATCGTCCCTGCACCCTCCTCTCTCCAGGTGACCGCTCTGCTGGCTTTCCTTTTAAATCCTCACCTGAGGACCGGTTCCCACTGACTTTATTTTATTATGTTTTACCTTTATTGTTGAAAATATTACAGATGTCCCCCCTTTTTCCCCCATTGATTTTAGAGAGGAATGAAAAGAGAAACATCAATCAGTTGGTTGCCTCTTGTGCGTGCCCCCACCAAGGATCAAATCTGCAACCTTTTGGACAATGCTCCAGTCACCTGAGCAATCCAGCCAGGGCTCTTCTGGCTTTCTGAGACTCAGTGAAGACAAGCAGAGCACATATGTGAGCCGTATCAGTCCCTCGAGACACAAGTTGGGACCTCTGAAGTCATGTCTGCAATCTGGGCCAGTTTCGTCTTAGTGAGTCCCCAGCCAGGCTTCTTTGAGCCCATCTCGATAAGCACAGGGGCAGGGCTGCAGCAACAGGCTCGGGACCTGTCAGGATGACAGGACCACTGCTACAGAACTTTCTCACGTGTCCAGCCCTCAGAAGGTCCCTGGTTCTTCTGTGGTAACAAGCTCTCAGATTACGGGATCTGCCTGTTTCAAAGCTGGATTTCAACTTCCAGTCACTGAATAACTGAGTCCTCAGTCATGTAACAGTCCTGTGGTAGGTTTAGCACAACAGGACAGATTTGTCCCTGCCTTCATAGAATTAGTGTTCTCCCAGGGTAACATGGTAAACAACTGGCTATACGGATTATTTCATTGAAATTGGGATCAACGCTGTGAGTAGAGACACAGGGTACTATGAGGGACATACAACAGGGTCCTAAGTATGTTGCAAATAGAAGAGCCTAAGCAAAGGCCCCGTGGCAAAGAACAGCATAAGGTACAAGAGCTGAGAGCCAAACTGGATGACGGAGGGAGCAGTGTGAGATGAGGCTAGAGGGGTACACAGACACCAGCCAAATCACTGGAGCCAATGTAAAGATTTGGGCATTTCTTCTGAGAACAGAGGAAGGGTTTGTTTGTTTGTTTTTCAATCCTCACTCAAGGATACTTTTTCATTGCTTATTTTTAGATAGAGTGGAAGGGAGGGAGGGACGGAGGGAAGGAAACATCGTTGTGAAAGAGAAATGCCGAATTGGTTGCCTCCCACACGACTCCAACCAGGGCCAGGGACCTAACCTGCAACCTAGGTTCGTGCCCTTGACTGGGAATTGAACCCGCGGCCCTTCGATCTGAGGGCCAGTGCTCTAACCACTGAGTCAAACTGGCCAGGGCAAGAGGAAGGTCTTAAAGATTGTAAGGCATATTATGATCCAATTTGCCTTGTAAAGGGATCATTCTGTGTGGAGAATAAATGGGGGACAGGAGTATGTGTGGGGAGACAAAAGTGTGGCTTTGATTGGGGTGAAGGTAGTGGCCAGAGAGCAGTGGAAAAATGTGGGCTGACTTTGGAAAGGGGACATTTTGCATGGATGTTTGGAGGCAGAGTTCCCACCAGATGATTTATTCTTCTTCACTAACTCCAGGTTCAAAGCTCTTGCCTCTCATTCTCCCTGATGTTCCTGCAGACTGTTTTTTTCCAAAAGGGTCTAGAAACTCGGGACATGGTCTGGCAGTGTCACCAATCATCCTACCACGGTCCATGTGACTGTTTTCACATGGAACCAAGACCCTAGGCTTCACAGACCTTGGAGAATTCTGAGGTATAACAGAAATTTCGGAGAATGAACTACTTACCACGTTACTGGGAATTTTGTCTCAGGGATTAAATCATATATGTCTTGCCATTCTTGAGGTATGTCGACAAAATTCCGGTAAACCTTGATTTGCAGCACTGTTCCTATGGTGATATGTTGCAAAAGCTTTAGAAATTCCCGCAAAGTGTACCCTAACACATTGGTATAGCCAACACTGATCAGAACGTCACCTGAAGAGGGAAAAAAGTAGCAGCAAAATTAAGATTGTGGTTGAAAGGGAACATTCCATTTCTGGTTTTACTGTGAGGTATTTCATTTGTGGAGTCATATTGCTGGTTCATTTTGAACCAAAACCAAGCTTCAGTACGTATATATTTATTTTATTTATTTATTTATTTATTTATTTATTTATTTATTTATTTATTTTTGTTTTTTATTATTCCTCACCCAAAGATATTTTTTTCCATGGAGTGGAAGGGAAGGAGGGAGGGAGAGAGTAGAAGAGAGAGATTGATGTGAGAGAGACACATGGATTGGTTGCCTCCCACTCTCACCCCGACCAGGACTGGAGATCAAACCTGCAACCCAGGGATGTGCACGTTGATGGGAGCTCCTGACTCTTCAGTATGCAGGCCGACTCTAACCACTTAACCACACCAGCCAGGACAGTCTTTTTTAACAAAAATTACCACCTCCATGACATAAGTGTTCTTCGCATAATAATGAACACATGCAAGATGTTTCTTACAGCAGTACAATGGTAGATATTACTTCATTTTCACAACATTTCTGAGCTCCTTAGTGTGACAGAGGTTACACCATCTATAATTGAAGTATCCTTTAGGACTCTAAACACGTTTCAAATAAAAGAATGACTATTCGAAATGGACAAATTTCTAGAAACACACAGTCTCCCAAAACTGAACCAGGAAGAGAAGGAAACATGAACAGACTGATAACAACTAAAAAAACTGAAGATGTATTCAAGACTCTCCCAGCAAACAAAAGTCCAGGCCCAGACAGTTTCACGAGGGAGTTTTACTGAACATTCAAAGAAGAACTGACAACCATTCTCCTCAAACTATTTCAAAAAATTCAAGAAGAAGGAAGACTTCTGAACCTGTTTTATGAGGCTAGCATAATTCTAATTCCAAAACCAGATAAAGACACTACAAAGAAAGAAAACTACAGGCCAATATCCCTGATGAACACAGACACCAAAATTCTTAACAAAATAACAAATCGTATCCAGCAATACATTAAAAAAATTATTCACCATGACCAAGTGGGATTCATCCCAGGGATGCAAGGCTGGTACAATATTCACAAATCAATAAATGTGATACACCACATAAACAAAATGAAAGATTAAAACCTCATGACCATATCAATAGATGCTTACAAAGCATTCAACAAAATCCAGCTCCCATTTTTTATAAAAATGCTGAGCAATGTGGAAATTGAGGGATCATATCTTGACATAATAAAGGCCATATATGGAAAACCTACAGCCAACATCATACTTAATGGGCAAAAACTGAAAGCATTTCCCTTAAGAATAGGAACAAAGCAAGGATGCCCACTTTTGCCACTCTTATTTAACATAGTACTGAAAGACTTACCCACAGCAATCAGACACAAAGGAAAAATAAAAGGAATCCAAATTGGAAAGGAGACAGTGAAACAGTCATTACTCGCAGACGACATGATATTATACATAGAAGATTCCATACTAAAGATTCTATACATACTAAAGATTCCATCAAAAATCTGCTAGATTTAATAAATGAATTTGGCAAGGTAGTATAATACAAAATTAACATCAAGGTATTGACAGCATTTTTATACACCTATAATGAATTCACAGAAAGAGAAACTAAAAAAAAAAGTACAAATCACACTTAACCATTGTGACAAAAAAAAATTAAGAGACCTATGAATAAACTTAACCAAAGAAATACAGGACCTATTTGCAGAAAACTACAGGACATTGAAAAAAAAAATAGAGGAAGATATAAAAAAGTAGATGCACATAATTTGTTCATGGATTGGAAGGATTAACATTAAAATGTCCATACTACCCAAAGCAATCTATAAACTCAATGTAACCCCCATCAAAATACCAATGACATACTTCACAAAATTAGAACGAATACTTCAAAAGTTCATGTGGAACCAAAAAAGACCCCAAACAGCCACAGCAATCTTGAAAAAGGACAAAATAGGTGGGATCACAATACCGGATATCAAGTTATACTACAAAGCCACTGTAATCAAAACAGCCTGGTACTGGCACAAGAACAAGCATATAGATCAATGGAACAGAACAGAGAACCGGGAAATTGACCCAAGACATTATGCTCAATTAATATTTGACAAAGGTAGCAAGAACATACAATGGAGTAAAGATAGCCTCTTTCAGATATGGTGCTGGGAAAATTGGACAGCTACAGGCAAAAGAAAATGAAACTAGACCATCAACTTACACCATACACAAGAATAAACTCAAAATAGATAAATGACTTAAATGTGACTCATGAATCCATAAAAATCTTAGAAGAAAATGTAGGCAACAAAATTTCACACATTATACACAACAGAATTTTCACTGATCCATCACCTAAGGCAAGAGAAACAAAGAAAAAATGAACATATGGGACTTCATCAAACTAAAAAGCTTCTGCACAACAAAAGAACCATCAAAATGGAAAGGGAACCCACTATATGGGAGAACATAATTGCCAATGATACATCAGATAAGGGGTTAATTTCCAAAATTTATAGAGTGCTCATACAGCTCAACAAAAGAAAGACGAACCAAATTAAAAAATGGGCAAAGGGAATTCCGGTCACGATGGCAGAGTAGGTAAACACAGTATCGCATCCACCCACAACCACACCAAGTTACAACTAAACTGAAGAACAACCATCACTCAAAGCCCCCTGAAATCAAGCTAAATAGAAGTCCTACAACTACAAAATTAAAGAAGCAGCCACATCAAAACTGGTAGGAGGGGCGGAGGCAGACGGGCTGGTCCCACACCCACATGTGGTGGATAAAAATCAGGACACCTCAGCTGAGAAGGTCCTCCCTGAGGACTAAGGGATCCCTGTCTCACACAAGGCGCCCAGCTCAGGGTTCCATTGCCAGGAAGAGAAGTCCCCATAACTTCTGGCTGGAAAAACCAGTAGGAACTGAGGCTCAGGGAGGCTGAGGCAGCTGGAGCTCCAGACAGCTTCTCTAAAAGAGCCCGTACTTGAACTTACTTGGACTTGCTCCCTCTAAGCTCAGAGGGGAAGCAGCTTGAGGGGCACCAGAGACATACAGGGAAGAACTGGGCTGTTTGGCATTGGAGAGGGTTGGACAGATATGCTCTCAGAGGCCTTTGTTCCTTTGGTGAGCCCTTCCCTGGGGCGGCAGACAGCCGCCATACCTGGGACTCCAGCAACTTGGGTCACACTATTTGCCCCGCCCTGGTGATTTCCTGAAGCGCCCCCCCCCCCCAACTTCCAGGCCCACCCAAGCTGTTGCCGGTTGCTTTACCATAGGATTGGCGTGTCTTAGATCCTGCTTCAGGTTTTTCTAAATTCTTTCAAATAGTCAGCATCTAGTCTCAGCTAGCCCCATACCTCTTGTTAAGTAATACATAGAAACAAACACAGGGAGGCAGCCAAAATGAGGAGACAAAGAAAGAGGTCTCAAATGAAAGAACAGAACAAAACTTCAGGAAAAGAACTAAGCGAAATGGAAATAAGCAACCCAACAGATGCTAAGTTCCAAAACACTGCTTATCAGGATACTCAATGAACTTAGTGAGAACCTCAGCAAGCTTAGTGACTGTCTCAAGGGCATAAAAAGGACCAGTCAGAAATGAAGGATGCACAGTCAGAAATAAAGGAGGCACTAACTGAAATAAATGATTTGCAGCGATTCAGTAGTAGAGTAGGTAAAGCCAAGAAGCAAACCATCGATTTGTAAAGTAAGGAAGCAAAAAAAAAACAACAAAAAAAAACAGAACAACAAAAATCCAAAAATATGAGGTAGTGTAAGGGTCTCTAGGACATCGTCAAGCATGCCAACATTCATATTGTGGGGGTGCCAGAAGGAGAAGAGAGAGAACAAGACATCAAAACGTATTTGAAACAATAATGGCGGAAAACGTCCCTAACTTGGTGAAGGCAACAAACATACAAGGCCCGTAAGCACAGAAAGTCCCAAACATCCCCGCCAGTTTGGCTCAGCAGTTAGAGCATCAGCCTGCGGTCCGGGCTTGGTTCCTGCCAAGGGCATGTACCTCGTTGCAGTTTGTCCCCAGCCCTGGTTGGGTCGTGCGTGTGGCAGCTACTCGATGTGTCCCTTTCATGTTGTTGTCTCTCTCTTCCTCTCTCTCCTTCCCGCTCTATCTGAACAAAACATGAAAAAATGTCCTCAGGTGAGGATTAAAAAAAAAAGTCCCAAACAAGATAAACTGCACGAGGGCCACACCAAGACACATCATCATCACAATCAAAAAGGTTCAAAACAAAGAGAGAATCTTAAAAGCAGCAAGAGAAAAGCAGTTATTACCTACAAGGGAGTTCCCATAAGACTGTCAGATGATTTCTCAAAAAAAACTTTGCAGGCTAGAAGGGAGTGGCAAGAAATATTCAGAGTGATGAAAAGCAAGAACCTACAACCAAGATCACTCTACCCTGCAAAGCTGTCATTTAGAATTGGTTTCCACATAAAGAGTTTCCCAGGCAAGGAAAAGCTAGAGGAGTTCATCACCACCAAACCATTATTATATGAAATGTTGAAGGGTCTTCTTGAAGAAAAAGATTTAAAAAAATATGAACAAACAAAATGGCAATGAATATATATCTATTGACAATTAGATCTACAAACAAAATGAGCAAGCAGAACAGAAACATTCTCATAGAAACAGAGAACATTTTGTTGGTTGCCAGATGGGAGGGGGGTTGGGAAAATGGGTGTAAAAGGTGAAGGGATTAAGAAGTACAAATTGGTTGCTAGACTGACAAACCTTAAAGGGAAAGGGAGAAAGGGGGTGGGAAGAATTAAACCAAAGAACTTATATGCATAACCAATGGACACAGACAACATTGTGGGGAAAGGCAGGAGGGGGGCAGGAGCGGGGAGGAGGAGGTCAATGAGGGAAAAATGAGGAACATCTCTAATACATTTAACAATAAAGATAAGTTCAAAAAAAAAAATGGGCAGAGGACCTAA